GGTCTCTCCTGCCCGGGCTGGCTTTGAACCGCGATCCTCAGATCTCAGCCTCCTGAGTAGCTAGGATTACAGGCGTGAGCCACCAGCGCCCGGCTGGCAGTTAATTTGAAATAAGAGTCTCAGACTTTCTTTGTCCAGGCTGGCTTTAAACTGTGATCCTCAGATCTCAGCCTCTTAAGTAGCTAGGATTACAGGCATGAGCCACCAGTATGCAGTAGATTCATTTATTTCTTTTTTTTGTTGGTTGTGGGGCTTGAACTTTGGGCCTGTGTCCTGTCCCTCACCTCTTCAGCTCAAGGCTTGTGGTCTACCACTTGAGGCACAGCGCCAGTTCCAGTTTTCTGGAGATGAAGTGTCTCATGGACTTTCCTGCCTGGGCTGGCTTTGAACCATGATCCTCAGACCTCAGCCTCCTGAATAGCTAGGATTATAGGCATGAGCCATTGGTGCCTGGCAGATTCATTTATTTTTAGAAGTTATTTTTATCAATATTTATTAATTATACAAAATGAGTGGTATTCCCATACATGTAGCTTTATTTATAATGCTTACAAAACTGGAAACAACCTAGATGTTATTCATTGAAGTGGTAAGCATGGTATAGCCTGTATTAATGCACTTGTTACTCAGTAGCATGCAAGTCAGAAACAGCCAATTTCAAATGGTCATATCCCCTACATATCAATACATACAATATTCTCAAAATGGCAAAATTACTGAGATTATAAATGTGTTAGTTGTTGCCAAGTTTTAATGGTGATGAGATGAGTATAGGTGTTTTCATAATTTTAATCTTAAATGTCTCTCATGCACTTGTATTGAAGGCTTGATCACCAGCTCATGGCACTATTGGAAGGTGGGCCTTTGTAGAAGAATGTAGGTATTTCCTTGAAGAGAATGTCAGAATCTAAGCTCTTTTTGACTTTTCTATGAGCTGAACAGTTTGTTCTAGCACACACTCCATGACATATATGTACTGTCTCAGCCCTAAAATAATCAGAGCCAAATGACCATGGCAGAAACTTCTGAAAGAATCATCCACGTGCGTGGCACTGGTGGCTCACACCTGTAATCCTAGCTACTCTGGAGGCTGAGATCTGAGGATCACGGTTCAAAACCAGCCTGGCAGGAAGGTCCATGAGACTCTTACCTCCAATTAACCACCAGAAAACTGGAAGTGGCACTGTGGCTCAAGTGATAGAACACTAGCCTTGGGCTGAAGAGCTGAGGAACAGCACCCAGGCCCAGAGTTCAAACCCCACAATCGATTAAAAAAAAAAAAAGAATTATCCACTTAAATCCTTTCTCCTTTTACATAGGTTTTCCATGTATTTGGCCATGGTAACAGAAAGTCGGCATAGGTTTAACTGTAGTGGTAACATTAGCAAGAGGCTATGGTAAGAAGCAGTTCTATTTGCACAAACTACCTATGTGATATAGAACTGTACACATTCATTGTTTTGATATTGTACTATAATTATGTAAGATGTAACCTTTGGATGCACAGGAACTCTTATCTTTAAAATTTTCTGTGAATCTTTTTATTGTTTTAAAATTAAAACCTTAAAGTCAGAAAAGGTAAAAACCATCCCCTCAAAGCTATCATTTGTGCTTTTATAAACCTATACTATAATTTGGAATAAAATGCCTTGATGATAAGCAGTGTTTTATTTATTTTTCTCTATATGATAGATCTTTTAATGATCTGTGAGATCTGATCCTCTCTCCCTTCCCCTCCCCTCTCCCTCTGCCTTTTCTTCTTTTCCTTTCCCTTTCCTTTCATCTTGGAAATTTTGGTTCCCTTGCCTCAGGTCCTTCTTTAAGTTCTCTCCCCCCCTAGATTCTCTCTCTCTCTCTCTCTCTCTCACCCAAAACTCAGAGACAGCCATATAATATACCCCATGTACTCATTATTAATATTATTAATAGTTAATCCATGGCCAAACTTGTCATATTTACATTTCTACCCAGTGTTCCTCTTTTCCACCAAAGTCCTTTGAGGTAAATCCCAGTCTGTCGTTTCTTTGACCATACTTTGAAAAAAGTAAATACCAGTATGTCTCTACAAAGAATATGTACTGTTCTTAGTTTTGAGAGAAATAAAACTTTATTAATATTTGATATTACTTTTAATACAAATATCTAATAATATAATCTTGGATAATAGAGCTAATGGTTTTATTCTTAGTTTATTTAAATTGACTAAAATGGTATAAATGGCATACAATATCATGATCTGAAATATGTATTCTGAAACAGCTGCACTAAGCTAGTTAATACAGGTTATTACTTATGTGAGATTTATTTTTTATTTTGGTGGGACTGGGGACTTCCTGAAGTGCTATTTTAGAAGTGCTTTGAGATCTTACTATTTAAACATATATTTTTAAGTAGTTGTACTAAGAAGTTGCCATTTAACAAAACAGTTTATGAAGACAGTTGTCTTGATCAAAGTCACTCTTTTCAATATTCTCATTTAAACTTGTGTCTTTGTTGTTCTTTTTATTTAGACAATTACTTACTTCTACAGCCATTTTGCACAAAAGCTCAATTTTTAAATGGGAAAGCAAAGCAAGATATGACAGAAAAACTTGCTGGTAAATACTCTTAAATTGTATTTTCTAAAGAAATTATTAACTGAAGATAAATTGGTGGATGTTTCATTTTAATTTTAGGATAGCTTCAATGCAATCTTTATAAAGTAGAAATAAATTGTATAAAGATCCGTAGACCTTTTAGAACTTTTTCCTCCAAGTAGTTTAGATTTTATCTCCAGTACTGCAAAAATTAAATTGAGAAAGAGTGGGAGAAGTAAAGAGAGCAAAGAGTTAGGGGTAGCGGAAAGGAGGAGGAAAGGAGAAAAGAAAGAGGAGTTCAGTCTTCCCTTTATGAGAAATAATACAGGAATAATCAAAAAGATGTTAAAATCAAATAATGCTTCTCTTCGAGGAATGTTGTTTCCATCCATGAATTAAGTTAAGTGTCTACAAGCCCGGCACTCGCTACTCAGGAGGGTGAGATCTGAGGATCGCGGTTCAAAGCCAGCTTGGGCAAGAAAGTCCATGAAACTCTTTATCTCCAGTAAACCATCAGAAAAGTGCAAGTGGTGCTGTGGCTGAAGTGGTAGAGCGCTTGCCTTGGGCTGAAGAGCTGAAGGACAGTGCCCAGGCCCACCTAGAGTTCAAGCACCATGACCAACAACAACAAAAAAAAAAGTGTACATTTTTTTTTACCCAAATTTGGAAAATGTCAAGATTAATTTTAGGTTTGATTTCTGTCTTTATCACTTTTGCTTGAACTAATTGTTATATATGGGATTCTAACATGTGAAGGTCTCTGTCTTTAGGAAGTCTTTTTAAAGAAGCCTAACTTCTAGGACAAATAGCATTGAGATAAATCTTGGTATCTTTTAAAGGCTTTTTAGTTAGCAGACTTTGAATTCAATTTTCAAAAAAGCTTAACCATATTTTTGTGTTTCAGATATTGTTATGGAACTTTATCAAAGGAAGCCTCATGCCACAGAACAGAAAGTGTTGGTGGTTTTATGGCACCTCTTAGGGAACATGACAAACAGTGGCTCTCTTCCTGGAGCAGGAGGAAACATACGAGCAGCCACAGCTAAGCTATCAAAAGCACTTTTTGCCCAGATGGGTCAGAATCTATTAAATCAGGCTGCATCTCAACCACCACATATCAAAAAGAGTTTAGAGGAATTGCTCGAAATGAACATTTTACATGAATTATGAATCTGATGAAATATGGTATAATGAACACAACAGTTTACATGATAACAAATGAAACTTTTTTGAAAAGTTACATTTTGAGTGCCTGCACTTCACATCTAGTAAATTAAGTTAATGGCTATTTTTATTTGCAGCTGGCGAGTGAGTACACATGTGTCTAATAAGAGCCCTACCAACCTGTACCTATCACACAAAACTCCTGATAATTAATAGAACCTAATAGTCATGAAATACGAGGCACGTGGAATTAGTCCAATTTTAATATTTTTTGAGAAGAGTCCTCCTCATTTGCACTATTCTATAGAAACAATTTATTGTCCTATATGTACAATTAGATTTGTAATTAAAAATATACTTTTTATTATGTAATCATGTTCTGTTATGTCTCATTACTCAGCCTTGTTTTATGAAGTGGAAGAAAAGTCATTGAACTATGTTATCACAAACTAAATTTTGTGTACTATTTGTGAATAACATGTATTTCTGAATCAGTCCGCTAATATGATTATGCAGTATTAGCTTGCTATGGCTGCTACGTTCATGTGATATATTTGCTAACCTTTTAGGTTTAATCATCTGCATAATTGTGAAATTTAACAAGTTATAATAAAGCATGATGACCAAAGTTTTAGAAAGCATTAAACATTTAAATACACGTTTAAAAAAACGTGTTGAATGTAACTTTTCCTATTTTTGTGTACAAACACTAAATTTTATTTCTGTATGTCCTGACATTTATAAAGGTGTTATTTTGCTGCCCAGTTGTGTAATTCTCAAAAATAGTGCCAGGTCTTCTATAGTTTTTCTCAGAATACTTGGGCTTACAAGTACTGTATGCATCTTAAAGAAGAAAAGGAATGTTTAAAATAAAAGGATTTATTTCTGTAGATGTGTGACAGGTGTTCTGATTTTCTAACTTACATATAGGTTAAAATAAAAATACACTGTAGAACTATTACTTTCATTTCCTCCATTTGATAGAATATTGACTTACAACTGTGTACCCTGGAGCAAGTGAGGGCCTCAAGTCTAATACCTGAGGGCTGGATTAGATGATTTTAAGGTCTTACCCTTTCATTCTTCTTTTTTTTTTTTTTTGGTTTAGAAAATAGATTTATTCTCCAAATTGTAAGATTAGGCAATCCTAAAGATTTCTCTGTTGGAAGTGGTGCTGTAGCTCAAGTGGTAGAGCGCTCGCCTTGAGCTGAAGAGCTGAGGGACAGCGCCTAGGCCCAGAATTCAGGCCCCACGACCGACAAAAAAAAAAAAAGATTTCTCTGTTGATTTATATATGGTTTAAATGTGTCCCAGGAGGGTATAAATGTTGGGAACTTGGCTTCCAGTGTGACAATGTTAGGAGACAACAGAAAGCTTAAGAGGTGGGCTCACCTAGGATGACAGACCACTCTACTCCCCAGCTTCCTGTATTGCCTGGGATTTCCCTATGGGTCATGTCTCCCACAGTAACTACTGATACAGCTGGCTCCATGCAGTTTGGACTATCAACCCTTAAACCACGAATTCCCAGTGTCAGGTATTTCACTATAGTAATGGAAAAAATGACTGATCCAACCTCTATTTTTAAAGCAAGTGAATGCAAATGAAGAGCAACCTATGGTTTTAAATAAAAATACTAACACCATTTTTGAAACTGCAAATGGGACTCTATGAAAGAATAAATACCACTTTCTTGCATCAAGGTAATTATAACAATGAATGGATAGAAATTAAAAATCTTCAAATTATTTATTTTCAACTCAATGAAAGACAAAAAGGCACTGGAGTCATTTCTTCATCTGAGTCATCTGACTGACCTGCTAATTCCAATTCCCCTAAATCAAAGAACCTTGAGCTTCTTTGGAACTGCATCATCAGCACATACTTTGATCATTTTAATGTTTGGCAATTTCTTCAGATCAAAATCCCATTCCCTAAAAGTTTTAAGATTACTTCCATTTAAAATGTCTGGTATCTGTTAACACTATTCTGATTGCTTATGCTATCCTAACCAGCCATTAGCCCAGCATAAGACCTATAACCAGGAACATGTATTCTATATTTTTCACCTTGAATAGTGAAAAATGACAAGTGAACTTTGAAAATATAATATTTCAATTTAGTGTGTTTGAGACAAATTTCATTATAAGATCGCTATAGTTTTATCAAGCAGTGATAGTGTGATTATTTGTGTTATAAGGTGAAAAACATATTTTTCATTGGACTCCATTTTTATTCATGAAACAACACATGGAAAAAGCATGGTCATATATATTTGGATATTTGGCAGATATTGTCCTTCAAAAATGATTGATAGTACCCTGTCCATTCAACAGACAGTATTTATTGCTAATGATAATTTTTGAACCTTGAGGTAAAGTTTGGAATTATAAAATTTATACACACCACTAGAGGTGATGGCCCCAATGAATAATGACTTTTCTGATGTCATAATATGATTATTAGTTAATATGATTGTTTTGTTTTGTACAGAGATGTGTATTAACAGTGGAATATTTACATGATTTAATTAATAGACAATCCATATTAAACCAATAGATTTTTTTTTTAGTCTGTCATGGGGCTTGAATTCAGGGCATGGGCCTTGTCCCTGAACTTTTTTGCACAAAGCTAGCATTCTACCACTTTGAGCCACAGTGCCACTTCTGGGTTTCTGGTGAGTAATTGGAGATAAGAGTCTCATAGACTTTCCTGCCTGGGCTGCGTTTGAACTATGATTCCCAGATCTCAGCCGCTGGGATAGCTA